TATTGCGCGTGGCCATGTTTATACTAACCATTTACATTGCGGCACGTGAAATGTTTCAATTCACATTTTCACCGTGCACCTATCTAAAGGGGTTGGAAAATTATTTGGAATGCACTTTGGTGGTATTGGTGATGCTGATTTTATTCGATGTCTGCCCAATCAGTTACCGTCGAACGTTTGGTTCATTGTCGATTTTGTTTATTGCCATCGAAATCTTTTTATTGGCAGGATCGTTGCCATTTTGGTCGTTTAGTACACATTATGTCATGTTACGAACAGTTACCTACTCTTTTTTAAAGAGTTTGTCGTTATATGCAATCATTTTGCTGGCATTTGCTTTGTCATTTTTTACATTATTGCATGAACCAACGGAAGAAGAGACTGATGGTAGTAAGAGTGGTGACGATAATGGCGACGAGGATGATGGAGATTTCAATAAATTTTCAAATCTTGGACTTTCAATTATGAAGACTTTGGTAATGTCAACCGGGGAATTTGACGTGGCTAGCATCGATTTCAAAGCTAATGCTTTCAGCTACGTCGTTTTTATGATGTTTTTATTCCTCGTAACCATCATTCTTTTGAATTTATTGAACGGTTTGGCGGTGAGCGACACACAAGCCATCAAATCGGAAGCCGAACTCACGAATTTCATAAGACGCGCTCAAGTGCTTGCCCGGTATGAATGTGTATTAGCAACGAGGTAAGAAGTGGTCTTAAATTCAAGTTTCATTTAATATATTTAAAAAAAATTGTTTCCGAAAATTAATTTCTTTGATCTTTCTTCCGCAGCTATTCGACTGTCTTTAAAATATTGCCCTTTTGTCATGAATTCGATACATTCGATGAAACAAAGCCGATTTATAACATTCGAATCAAGCCAAACGATAATAATCAAATATTAATTCCCGACACAAATAATACTAATGACGAAGTCAATCAAACTGACGATAATCTCCGGCCTTTATTGTGTTTCCATCGCCTGTGCTGTAATCGGTGCACTCACATGGACTCAAAAATTGTGAAACTCGCCTTTCAGTGCCTAGAAAAGACGGCCATAGAACAGCACGAAGAAAACGAAAGAGAAAAACATAACGAACGACTCACTAGAATGGAAGAAACTCTTGAAACTATTGTCGATAAATTGAATGACATTCTAAATAAGTGAAGTGTTTATTTATAACTTTTTGGGTGATAAAATATGTTTTCCATCAAATGGTAATATTTTTGTGAATTAAAATAATCTCTAATGAAATAGCGGTAAAAATGAGTTTTTCCATTTATCATTATTTTCATTTATTCCCGATGATGATTCAAATATTGGAAAGGTCAGTAAGTCACTCTGATAACGTGATATGAAAAACCCTCGGAAACCAGACGAAATAATGATATGAAAAATTTGAATAAATAGACATGCGATGTACAGATTCACGGCAGCAGAAACTTACTAATCGTAAGTATCGAAGCACATTCAATTCTGAATGACGTCGTCTCAGCTATCGTGACCAAAGAAATTAACAAACGACGCTGTATTCAAAAAAGGTCATTGCTCATTATCTGAAATCGAATTTTTCGATGATACATTTTTGACTCATCTGGAATAACAGATTGACGCCAAATTCTTCACATTTTCATTCGCTATTTGAATTTATTATTGAAAACTAGCTTATAGACTTCGAACAAATATATAATTAATTTTCATATTTCAAATCTGTCATGTGGTCGTCATTAAATATCACGATCAATTATTCACTAATAACTAAGTCATTTTTTCGCTGGTCTTAATCTTTGCATTATATTTTATGACCATAAATCGATTGCGTAACAAGCAAATCGGGTATGCTTCGAATGACCAACCAATGACTCATGCATCAATTAAAATCGATCTTCAAGCGTCATTATTATATTTGCAACAAACTAATGCACGATCCGTGACCGCTTGATTTAAAGCAGTTATTGCATGTTCAAGCAAATGTAAATTCCACAAAAATAAACAGTAAATAAAACTATCAAAGATGCTAGTTCATGTTTAATCCAATTCATAATGAAAGTGAATTTTTACAAAACAAGAAACATGCGAGTAATTGCATGGTGCATTTTTTATGGACACGTTTTAACCACACACTGTACATATTAATGTAGTTGAGTCCGAATAGATAGCGAAATCGAATGAAAACATAATGACAAAATTCTTTCATTGCATATGCGGGCGCTTCATGTTGATATTACGGTCATATGTGTGTTGGAATTCCATAGCGAGAGAAAGACGGAGATAGAGAGAGAGGGAATTTGACATATATGTATTCGTTTCAATTCATATGTGAATGAGCGATCGAAACGATCTAACATTATCATGTGTGAGTGTTTCATATTGTCCGCTCAATTCCAGTCCCACTTGTTGCTCTCTCTCTCTCTCTCTCTCTCTCTCTGCCTGCAAAATGGGAATTAACCATCAGTAATTCAATTTAATCAAATGTTTTGCTTCTAATCTGCAACCATTGAAAATGATATTGAAAAATTGCAGAGGAGAAAACCATGAAAAAGAAAAATACAGAAAAACTCTTGCAATTTATTCTATATACAATGATATTGTTTATATATTTTGGCATAAACACGATGTGTCTGACAATTTTAATTTGATAAACTTTAAAATGAAGGTTTTTAAACGGTTTAAAAGGTTTTCCAGTGGATATATCGGGACCACAACAATGTCGTTTATTTAAAAAGTTATACAAAACTGAATGTGACTCACTTGAATCGTTCTTCATTATTTGAACATCCAGCCCAGCTTCAGCATTTCTTCCAAAGCAAATTTCATCTACATCATACTTTGAACCAATCTTTATTGGCAACTGGATAATGGATTCGTTGGAAATTGCACTTGAATATTATTATCTAGGAGCGTATGATTGCGAGTGTGGTTTACGTTACCTTCAATTCCTTGTGGACATATAAATCGTCCCACGGTAAACATTTTCAGAATTATAACTTTTATTACCGATAATTCTTAATATTTTCATTTTATATTCTTAACGTGTAGTGTACGACACAATAAAATGGATCATCAACTCGAATAAAATAATTTAATTTTGCACCATAAAATGATAAGGAAATTAGCAATCCAAGAAATTATAATCTCTTTTTTTTAGTTTCCAGTGCAGGATGCACTCTAGTTCTTTAGAACTTTGGAATGCGATAATTTGCAAAATTTGTGTGAAAGATTCTATTCACCAATGAATAAAATGTGATTAAAATACACGACTTTGTTTACAATGTTTATTTATGGATTCGAACGCTACACACTATTCATATGAATGAAGTTGAGCCGCCACTGATAGCAAAATCTAATGAAAACATAATAGACAAAATTATTTCATTGCAAATGCGGGCGCATAATATTGATACAATCATATGTGCGTTGAGAGACTGGAATTCTTAGAGAAAGAGAGGTAATTCGTAATTTAACATATAGTATTTATTCGTTCCAATTCACTCATGTGAATAAGCGATCGTTTCAGTGTAACACTCACACATGCCGTTGACTCGCTCAATTCCAGTCTCTCATTTGTTGCTCTCTCTGTTTTCAACCTATTCGTTTGTATTACACGCAAATTATATTTCCCGCATCAACAAATAGTCTGTCAGTATAATTTCGTTAGTGGAAGGAGGAACATTGCTTGTCACCGATCGCCAGTCTCAAAACTATATTTTGATCTATATTATTCAATTAATTTGTACGAAAAAAGAGGCGAAAAAGTAACAATCTGGTAAGCTAAACTATTTAATTCTATTTATTAAATTCAGAATGAAATGAAAGGTGAAATCACTATAAAAGTGCGTAGTATTGAAAAAAGGTCTTTTTTCCTGATCTCATCGGTTGTTCATGTACATAGTCAAGGTCAGTTTGGTGTTCATCAGTATGAAATATACATATTTAGTTCTTGTGTCTTTGTTATTTATCGTTCTTCCTCTATTTCGATCGTTTAAATTCTCGTGTATGGCATTATAAAACCCACAACATTTTTTGACAAAATTAAACAGTCGAACAAACAGTTGATGTGTACGTAAACGAAAAAAGCCGACGCCTTTACATGTACAAAAAAATATGACCGCAATTGCTATTTGATTGGTATCTAGTTGTTCTATGTTTACATAGTTATTAAAATTAGCAAAAGTTCAAGCTGCTACATGTTTATTCAACCGCTCTAGACATTTAAACATTTTTTTGCTAGATTCTGGTTTATAATAATCAAATTAAGTGTTTTTATAGTCTCCTGGTGAGTGATTGTAAACAAGATATGTTTATAAAAAAAAGTTATGTATGTTCGAAATGACCAAAGTGATCAGTGCACGGTTGCGGTTTTTGTGTACGTGCGCGCGGGGGAAATGCGTGTGACTCAGACTTTGCATTCAAATTTTATGCAACCCACTTACCATTGAGTATTCATTCACGGAATCATATTGATTAGTCATTTGAATTTTTGCAGATTTCACTTTGTGTATATAGAAACGGCAATCATTCCAAACGGTATAGCAAGAACGTGTGCGTAAGCAATGGAGGAACACCTGTTGATGTGCTATGGTGACACTGCGGTAAGAATTTTTCATGGGAAAATCAAATGCATTTTATTGTTGCGCGTTTTGATTTTTGAATTGTTATTTCATAGAGTCTGGCCAGTGCACTTTCGAAAAGAGACATCAATGCATTCCGACGCGTACTTCAATCGCCATCGGACGTGGAAAAATATGATACTGAATCACAAATGTCGATCTTTGAAATGGCCTGTCAAACTCCCGGTTGCGCCGAATTCATTCTCGAATGCATTCAAGTCGGCTGTGATGTTAATAAGGTAATTTTATTTATATTTATTTGAATGTCATGGAAATCATCATTAGTAGGGTCAACGAAAATATGTGCGTGAAAATTAAAATCCGAAATATCCGATTTAACTTATAAACGAAAATTTGTTTCAATATTATACGCCCAATTAGTTAATATGGAAACATAAGACCCAAAAACTGTTTAATTGATTACAAAAAAACAACATGTTTTCATACCTAAATGGTCGATGATTATCGTACAGTGTTTCGTAATAAATATTGACATTGCTTTCTCGGAATCGACTTGATATAAAAAAAATTCGTTCAAAATTTTGATTACACTGGGTAATAATAGCACAAATTCCGACACATTTATTATCAG